CGTTAACCATACGTTCAAAAGAGTTTGCAGACAACTTGTGAGGGCAATAGAGCAAAAGTCCTTAGGGAAAGTTCCCAGAGACCCTGGTTTGCGAACAGGGAGGACAACGGCATCGAGCCAGTCCTCAGGGACTGACGACGACTCCCAGATCCGATTATACAGACTCGGTAAATACTGAGATGTGCACTGAGGGAGATCGCGAAGCATCTCATAATGAATAATGAACCAGTCTCTGTGGTGTAGTGGTAAGACACTCGCCTGGCGTTCCGCGAGCGCTTTGTCATGGGTTCGTATCCTGGCCGGGGAGGATTTACTGGGCGCAAATCCTTAACTGTAGCCTCTGTTGAACTCAACAGTAAAATGAGTACTTGGTTGTAACAACGATTCTTCGCGGTGGGGATCGTATTCCAGGGACCTGCCCGAAACGCTATGTGTACTATTGGCTGTACAAGATGTAACAACTCTTGTATATATCTAAAAAAAGAATACCATCGGAGCCCGCCACCGTAGAACTGCAGAGGGCCAGGGCAAAACGAAGTTCAGAGAGAGAAGGGATCGTTGTAGGAAAGTCGAAGACGAATGCAGAAATCTAAAGGACGAGACTCAAAGACAGGTTTACGAAAAAGGAAAGAGTGGGGAAGATGAAGACCAGAGCTAACAGAAGGAAAGTGGGAACCCAGTTCGGTAGCGATCTGCAATGGGTCCGCCACAAGAGTACCACGGAGGTGAAGGACCAGTGAAACCATCGGGAACGAACTTACCCGCTATCTTGCGGATACGCTTCCAGATCTGTGGCAGGGGAGTTTCGGACGTAGTTGTGGAGACATAAGATGCCCAACATTCACGTTTAGCCATACGGATGGCCCTACGGGCCACCGCACTCGCTCTCTGAAAGAAATGAAAAGAATCAGCCGTCTGCCGACGGCGGTGCGTCTTCCAGGCTGCACGCTTACAGCGGACAGCCCGAGCACAGTCTGCATTCCACTAGGGAACGCACTTTCGTGGACCCCGAGAAGAAGAGCGAGGAATAGAGTGGAGGGCAGCGTTGAAGACTGTCATGAAAAAGGAGGAGAGCGTGAGGGAGAGGCAGAAGGGAGAGGTCAGAGAGAGCAGCACTGAGGGTAAATAGGTTCCAGTCCGCTTTAGCAAACTGCCACCTAGGGAAAGAGAGGGAAGGACGAAAAGAGAAAAAGGAAATAAGGATGTGGAAATGGTCACTGCCATGAAGGTCATCAAGAACCTGCCACATGAAATCTAAGTAAAGAGAAGAAGAGCAGAGAGAAAGATCAAAACAGGAAAGGGTGCGAGTCCGAGAGTCCAAATGAGTGGGCTCGCCAGAATTCAGAAGAGAGAGGGAAGAAGAGGATAAACAGCTCAAAAAGGCGATCTCGGGTGTTCATCAGAACACCACCCCAAAGAGAATGGCGACAATTGAAATCACTCAGCAGGAGCACAGGCTCCGGCTAGGAGTCCAGGTGGTGTTTCAGATCAGGAAGAGAAAGCGGGACACTCGGGGGGGGGGGGGTGGAGATAAATGGAACAAACTGTGTACCATTTCCCCACAAAGATACGAGCAGCAGAACAATGGAGAGGCGAAGGAAAAAGTAAGGGGACAAAGGGAACATCAGAGCGAAGCAAGAGAGCAGAAGAATTAGGAGCCCCAGCAACAGCTGGGGGGGGGGGGGAGAGAAAGGAATAGCCACGAAAACGACCAGGACGAGCACCAAGCATCGGCTTCTGGAGACAGACACAAAGGGGCGAAAATCGCGAAATCAGAAGTTGGAGCTCAAGGAAATTGGCGTAATAACCCCAAACGTTCCATTGAAGAATAGACATCGACGAGAAGAGAAAGGACAACAACAGAGAACAAGGAAGAAACAAAGGCGAAAGAGCAACATAGCACATTAAAGAAGATCAGGGTCAGCAAAGTCAGGGTTAGGGGCATGGGTAAACTGAGCAAAGATGGAGGGAAGGAAGCGGAAGAACAGACCAGAAGCGGGGTCTGGAAGGAGGAGGAGGAGGAAGAGGAGGAGACAACGGAGAGGAGTAGTCAAGGACAGCAGTAGGAAGAGGGGGAGTAGAAAGAGGGGAGCGCACCTCAGCAAGGGCAGCAACCGAGAGGGAAGCAGGGGCCAAAGAAACCTCCATAGCAGGAACAGGGGGCGCAACCACCGAAATGGGAGGGGAAGGGGCGATAGAGTCAGAAGTAGGGGTCGTGGAAGAAAGTGAAGCCTTCTTACCCACCGGGGAGGAGGAAGGAGAGGAGCCAGGCTTACGCTTCTGACTTAAAGAGACAGGTGTCCCAGCAACTACGTACTGGGCAATGGATTACAGTGTCTCAACAGGAGAAGCTGAACGAGAGCACACAAGACGGCCGGTAGGAGAGGTATGGACATCAGCCCGCACTAACAGGCGGCGGGGAGAGTCAACAGATGGAGGAGAAGGATGGGAAGGAGGATCGGAGGGAGACGAGGAAGAAGACACAGGAGACAACAGAAACATTCATCGACATACAGACGAAGAGAAATTCATCCACGAATGTGCCCCCATACCCACCATGGAGCCACAATTAGAGGCAGGACACCCAACAGGAAGCTATCGCCGATCATGCCGGGGCCTCCTAGGGGTGCGTCGTGAGTATACGCCCCACAAACGCCACCTTAAGAACCGTCAGTCCGTCGAGATCGGGTTCAGTGACGAAAGTGGGATTGACAACAAAAGGTTCCCCTCGCTCTCGACGTCGGGTACTACAGTTCTACGGGTGCAAGAGTATGCCTCCTCAAGCACCCGGGCGTCAAAATAGAAGAAGTCCAAAGGAATAACCAAAACAAGCAAAAGGTCGGCAGGAAACAAGCAGATAGGAGAAGAGGGGGGAGAAAAACGAAACATAAGGAAAAGGAAAAGCGATCCGGCACAATTAGAGAAGACAGCAGCAGGAGTGCAAGGCCACAAAAGGACAGAGGACTGTCCCACGGAGCATCACTCCAGCAGCCGTACACCAAGCCCCCTCACGGCGCCAACGGGCCGGATGGGGAGGGGGCATGGACAGGGTTAGAGATGTGTTAAACATACAGTTCAGGGGTTTATTGAACAATCAACCACAGAAGGCGATTGTAGTGCTTTTAAAATGCTAAGCTAACCTACATACATAAATACAAACACACAGATTTACGTATGCCCTACATAAAGTGGTCGATGTGTCTTTTACATAGTGTCATTAATGTGCATTTACAAAGGTGAAATGTAATTCTGATCAGCTTTCACATTTACTTTATACACATACATATGCATACACACATACATTACAAACTGGGGTGGTTTTCTCTTTTGCTTGCCCGACTGCAATGCGTACGTCGCCAATGTACATGGGGCAGACGCTTCACGAAGCTGTCGAAATTAACAGAAAATACGAGAGCAACCGTACAGGGCCTGGGAGCAAGGTCGAGTTAGAGTCCTTGAGGGTCTCTTCTCAGACTAGTCTCACCTGGTCTTGCTCCACGTTGATCGTTGGAATCTTCTCAATGATTTAACATTTTAAGGGACTCCTAGAGTCCTCATCACATTTATAGTTTAGTGAATATAGGCAACTCGGTGTTGACACCTAGAGCTGAAGGCTTGAGTAATTTGTTGGTAGTATTCAGAAATGGTTCAACGGAAACACCGCACAAAGCTTAACAGTAGTTTATTTACTAAACCACTAATACAAAGGGTGCTTGATTTACTTTAGATTGGCGTCAGAAAGGCTATAGTCGCATGAGCGAGACTTTACGTCTGGCTAAACGACTCGTATCCACTCGTGGAGTAACACCTAACTTAACACAGTTGACAGCCAATCATTAACACAGCAACCTAACTGTCATGTTCACAGAAAATGGTACCATCCGTTTTCTATGTGCGGCGGCTGAGACGCCAGAGAGACAGAAGGTAAAGAAGAGCGTACAGGACGCCCGCCAAGCTTGGTAGCTACTAGTCATGTAATCATATTAAGTATTAAAGTCAGTAACCAAGTCATGACTTTACATCAACCCTACAACCAAGACTTCCTCAGTAACACACAAACACCACACTAACTGCCGGTGTGCAAAGGGATCACAAGAGTTCCAACCGGATACTCGGTAATGCTGATATGCAATAAATCACAAATACACTGTGAATGGGACAGGCAATAACATCACAATGCTAAATGTGTGGTGTATGTGAAGCTCACAATTATAGACGAGTGAAATGCTGTGATACCACACAGATAACCACACATACACCGTCGATTCACCAATACCTGTGACGGGTATGAGAAGGTGAAGCTCACAATTATAGACGAGTGAAATGCTGTGATACCACACAGATAACCACACATACACCGTCGATTCACCAATACCTGTGACGGGTATGAGAAGGTGAGAACTGTGGTTCATTCAAAATGATCTGCTACCAGAAATTTTAGCCAAATATCCCCAGTTTGCTAACTGTAGGTAGTAACTAAGTGATTGTAACCTATCCACCGCTGCCCACTGGATGGGGGGCGGTGTGCAGGACAAACATACCAATTGTGACACTAGCTCTCCACATATGTCAGTTGCTTAATTTAGAACCTGTACTTGAGGTCGATCTCGAACCCATTGTTGATGTGATGACTTATATTGAATTTTGTAACTAGCTCATCAAGATTGTAACTTGCTTAGCTAAATGAATTGTTGGGTTCAGTCCCTGAGCCCATTATGTGCCTCTGTAACCCTTTCCACTACCGCCCACAAGATGGGTATGGGGTGCATAATAAATGAACTAAACTAAAAACTCCCTCAGATCAACACAGACAGACAGTAAAACAATGACAAGATCTTGTACTTACAGGTAGGGTACCTCATTCACTCACTCATTCAGGCACATTTAAGCAAGCACTCATAGGTGGCCTGATAGCTGGTTTCCTCGTTGACGTGAGACCATTGACGACAGGGTTTCCCACAAACCGTACTTAACACGGGGGGGGGGGGGTAGGTACTCACAGGAGGGCGTGCTGTATGTATAACCAACACACACACTGGCACTGGTGGTGAGTAAGGGTGGTGACGTCACGTGGTACAGTGAGGGCGACGGTGGGCGGGCTACACGCTCGGGACAGTGGCGGCTGGGGTACCACGCGGTACACTGCGGTAAAGTCACACACAGGTTACTTAATCGGTGGCACTGCCTTAGTTCACTAGGTCACTCGCAGACGACAATCTCCACTTGTCACTAGGGGTTACCTGATACCAATCTGTTTTGCTGTGGTGATTTGTCACTTAAGCTCCTAAACAATATATTCACATTCGCGATTCCGGGCGAGTGTTGGTATATCGAAAAGACGCCGAGTTTAACTTGACGGTGAGGAATGGACAGCGTTCAGTCTATTGGCCGATAGACGGAACAGGACACGTCCTCTGTGCAAGGGCTCCCTCACGAGAATGCTCTGCAAGAGTCTGCCAGGCATCTCGTGGGACACGCAGAGGGTTACAATTTGACCAATGGCGTTGCAGCAAATGAGCGGGAACCAATCATATTGAACGTTCCCTGCTCAGTAGCAGAGGTGACGTCATGAACACGTCACAACCATGTTACATCTGTTATTCTCTATCGCGCCGGTTGAGGTTGACCTCAGGGTCAGATTGTCGCCTCGCAGGCGTCTCCCCTCCCTCTCCCCCTCTCTCCCCCTCTCTCCCTCACGCTTCACACCGGCCATTGTACTCACTGACCCTTTGTGGCAAGTATGCTCAACTTCCCTGTATCTACTTCCTGCCTGGACATACGGCGGCCTCCGTATTATAAACGTATTCCTGGTTAGGTGGGCATTCTGTAGGTACCCAACATGTCAGGTCACTATCCAGGATTAACAGATCCAGGCTTGTGCACGAAGATCGGTGCACTGTGCACTGCAATGAGCCATTCAAGTTAGCTGTGGGAGAATCCTGAGAGACATACTCTCACACAAACATATATACATTACATACATACACACACATATTTGCCTTCTACTCTGACAGGTAAGATGGCTGTTAAACTAGTGTGCAATTAAGCACTTTACCACTGAAGGTGATTAAGATGCTTTTACAAGATCAGGTTATATAGTTACATCACATACAATGTATAATTGATACATACATTGTATAATTTATACATTACATGGTCAATCTAGGGTACAGATACGTTTATATCCCAGGCGTATTCTGGCCACTATAACATCACATTGCCGGGTTCTTGTTCTATTAGTCCCATATGTGAATGTCTCCTCACGATATCTATCATAATATTTAATGCTACAACTTTCAGGTCTTTGTGACTGTTAGGTCGGTGAGATCTTCATTAGATATTTGTTTAAGTATTCTCTTAAGTAGAAGACCTAATGAAACACCCATATCAATGTCTACTACTGGATTTCTGCAGGCTGTCTTTGCCAGCATATCAACAGTGTCATGCCTTGAGATGCCAACATGTGATGGTATCCAGGAGTGGTGGGCGTGAAGGACCAGTAGTAGTAGTAACAGTGGGTGTAAAGGACCAGTAGTAACAACAGTGGGCGTGAAAGACCAGTAGTAGTAACAACAGTGGGCGTGAAGGACCAGTAGTAGTAACAACAGTGGGCGTGAAGGACCAGTAGTAGTAACAACAGTGGGCGTGAAGGACCAGTAGTAGTAACAACAGTGGGCGTGAAGGACCAGTAGTAGTAACAACAGTGGGCGTGAAGGACCAGTAGTAGTAACAACAGTGGGCGTGAAGGACCAGTAGTAGTAACAACAGTGGGCGTGAAGGACCAGTAGTAGTAACAACAGTGGGCGTGAAGGACCAGTAGTAGTAACAACAGTGGGCGTGAAGGACCAGTAGTAGTAACAACAGTGGGCGTGAAGGACCAGTAGTAGTAACAACAGTGGGCGTGAAGGACCAGTAGTAGTAACAACAGTGGGCGTGAAGGACCAGTAGTAGTAACAGTGGGCGTGAAGGACCAGTAGTAGTAACAACAGTGGGCGTGAAGGACCAGTAGTAGTAACAACAGTGGGCGTGAAGGACCAGTTGTAGTAACAACAGTGGGCGTGAAGGACCAGTAGTAGTAACTGTAGTAGTGGGCGTGAAGGAGTAGTAACTGTAGTAGTAGTGGGCGTGAAGGAGTAGTAACTGTAGTAGTAGTGGGCGTGAAGGAGTAGTAACTGTAGTAGTAGTGGGCGTGAAGGAGTAGTAGTAACTGTAGTAGTGGGCGTGAAGGAGTAGTAGTAACTGTAGTAGTGGGCGTGAAGGAGTAGTAGTAACTGTAGTAGTGGGCGTGAAGGACCAGTAGTAGTAACTGTAGTAGTGGGCGTGAAGGAGTAGTAACTGTAGTAGTAGTGGGCGTGAAGGAGTAGTAACTGTAGTAGTAGTGGGCGTGAAGGAGTAGTAACTGTAGTAGTAGTGGGCGTGAAGGAGTAGTAACTGTAGTAGTAGTGGGCGTGAAGGAGTAGTAACTGTAGTAGTAGTGGGCGTGAAGGAGTAGTAGTAACTGTAGTAGTGGGCGTGAAGGAGTAGTAGTAACTGTAGTAGTGGGCGTGAAGGAGTAGTAGTAACTGTAGTAGTGGGCGTGAAGGTGTAGTAGTAACTGTAGTAGTAGTGGGCGTGAAGGAGTAGTAACTGTAGTAGTAGTGGGCGTGAAGGAGTAGTAGTAACTGTAGTAGTAGTGGGCGTGAAGGAGTAGTAACTGTAGTAGTAGTGGGCGTGAAGGAGTAGTAACTGTAGTAGTAGTGGGCGTGAAGGAGTAGTAGTAACTGTAGTAGTGGGCGTGAAGGAGTAGTAGTAACTAGTAGTGGGCGTGAAGGAGTAGTAGTAACTGTAGTAGTGGGCGTGAAGGAGTAGTAGTAACTGTAGTAGTGGGCGTGAAGGAGTAGTAGTAACTGTAGTAGTGGGCGTGAAGGAGTAGTAGTAACTGTAGTAGTGGGCGTGAAGGAGTAGTAGTAACTGTAGTAGTGGGCGTGAAGGAGTAGTAGTAACTGTAGTAGTGGGCGTGAAGGAGTAGTAGTAACTGTAGTAGTGGGCGTGAAGGAGTAGTAGTAACTGTAGTAGTGGGCGTGAAGGAGTAGTAGTAACTGTAGTAGTGGGCGTGAAGGAGTAGTAGTAACTGTAGTAGTGGGCGTGAAGGAGTAGTAGTAACTGTAGTAGTGGGCGTGAAGGAGTAGTAGTAACTGTAGTAGTGGGCGTGAAGGAGTAGTAGTAACTGTAGTAGTGGGCGTGAAGGAGTAGTAGTAACTGTAGTAGTGGGCGTGAAGGAGTAGTAGTAACTGTAGTAGTGGGCGTGAAGTAGTAGTAGTAACTGTAGTAGTGGGCGTGAAGGAGTAGTAGTAACTGTAGTAGTGGGCGTGAAGGAGTAGTAGTAACTGTAGTAGTGGGCGTGAAGGAGTAGTAGTAACTGTAGTAGTGGGCGTGAAGGAGTAGTAGTAACTGTAGTAGTGGGCGTGAAGGAGTAGTAGTAACTGTAGTAGTGGGCGTGAAGGAGTAGTAGTAACTGTAGTAGTGGGCGTGAAGGAGTAGTAGTAACTGTAGTAGTGGGCGTGAAGGAGTAGTAGTGGGCGTGAAGGAGTAGTAGTAACTGTAGTAGTGGGCGTGAAGGAGTAGTAGTAACTGTAGTAGTGGGCGTGAAGGAGTAGTAGTAACTGTAGTAGTGGGCGTGAAGGAGTAGTAGTAACTGTAGTAGTGGGCGTGAAGGAGTAGTAGTAACTGTAGTAGTGGGCGTGAAGGAGTAGTAGTAACTGTAGTAGTGGGCGTGAAGGAGTAGTAGTAACTGTAGTAGTGGGCGTGAAGGAGTAGTAGTAACTGTAGTAGTGGGCGTGAAGGAGTAGTAGTAACTGTAGTAGTGGGCGTGAAGGAGTAGTAGTAACTAGTAGTGGGCGTGAAGGAGTAGTAGTAACTAGTAGTGGGCGTGAAGGAGTAGTGTAAGAGTAGCAGGAGCAGCAGGAGGTGGACCAGCCGGCGGGCGGCAGGAGCGCGCGTGACCGGCGCCACGTCAGAGCGGGCGGCGACTGGCAGCTCCACGTCACACACTCTCCCTCACACGTCGACCTCACCAGCGTCCTGCACTTGTTTCTTGCGGGCTACGAGCCCACGGTGCGCTTCTCGCCGGCCCCTCACTATACCTCTCACAACCCTCTCATTCATCACCACACACCATCCATACTCATCATATTAGTCATCAGCACCGAGCTTAACCACTATAATGTATATTCTGGTAGTTAATATAACAAAATCTAATAGAACAATAAATAAAGGTTTGTAGCGTTTTCAATTATTGAATTCCGGCAAATATTACCGCAATGGAACATAAATGCACTGGAGTAATATTATGCTTCTATCACAGTGTAAAATATGCAAGAAACATATATATATTTATTGTATATATATTTGACCGGTTTATTTTAAATTGGAGAGTTTGTATAGAGAATTTAAAGGTAGTTTGTGTATAACGGCAGCCGCTGAGCCGCCACCTCCCTCTGGCCTACATAACTTCTCTCTCTCTCTCTCTCCTCTATCTACACACTCTACAAATATCTTTTTATTTTAGCAACTTGCATAAATTCAATATTTATATTTCTGTTTTAATTATACGTGTTAAACGTAAGAGGAGCCATTGTTATATTTGATAATAATTACGTTTATGGAGGTGTGTAAGACCATGTGAAGTTTGACAGCCGCCGGCGTCAGTTGCCAAATATTAAGTTCATTTTCCTTATATTCTTAAGGTTTCTCAAGTCCAAAATAAGTTTATATTTCACGTTGTACTTCTTGTCGAGACAATACTTCGTATATAATATATATTTCATATGACGGGAAGATGGATTAGTGGTACAAAGTGTGTGTAGAGTTGAGGGGCGTGGCGAGGCGCGGCAGGTGTGAGGGAGTGTGTGAGGGGCTGCGTGGGGCCGCCGCCTCACTTCTCATCTCCTCACTCCTCACCACGCTCCTCACCACGCTCCTGTAAGTCTCTCTTGTGTCTCTTCTCTCAGTCAGGTGTGTGAGGCCACACTCACACACCTGGCGCCTCATAACATGTGTGTGTTGTGAGGTTGTTATTGTGTGGCCTAGTGTGTGTTGTGAGGGAACTGTGAGGTGGTGGTGAGGGTGAGGGAACTGTGAGGGTGAGGGAACTGTGAGGTGGTGGTGAGGGAACTGTGAGGTGGTGGTGGTGAGGGAACTGTGAGGAGGTGCTAGTGAGGGAACTGTGAGGTGGTGGTGGTGAGGGAACTGTGAGGTGGTGGTGGTGAGGGAACTGTGAGGAGGTGCTAGTGAGGGAACTGTGAGGTGGTGGTGGTGAGGGAACTGTGAGGTGGTGGTGAGGGTGAGGGAACTGTGAGGGTGAGGGAACTGTGAGGTGGTGGTGAGGGAACTGTGAGGTGGTGGTGGTGAGGGAACTGTGAGGTGGTGGTGGTGGTGAGGGAACTGTGAGGTGGTGGTGGTGGTGAGGGAACTGTGAGGTGGTGGTGGTGGTGAGGGAACTGTGAGGTGGTGGTGGTGGTGAGGGAACTGTGAGGTGGTGGTGAGGGAACTGTGAGGTGGTGGTGAGGGAACTGTGTGGTGGTGGTGGTGGTGAGGGAACTGTGAGGTGGTGGTGGTGAGGGAACTGTGAGGAGGTGCTAGTGAGGGAACTGTGAGGTGGTGGTGGTGGTGAGGGAACTGTGAGGTGGTGGTGGTGGTGGTGAGGGAACTGTGAGGTGGTGGTGGTGGTGAGGGAACTGTGAGGTGGTGGTGGTGGTGAGGGAACTGTGAGGTGGTGGTGGTGGTGAGGGAACTGTGAGGTGGTGGTGGTGGTGAGGGAACTGTGAGGTGGTGGTGGTGGTGAGGGAACTGTGAGGTGGTGGTGGTGGTGAGGGAACTGTGAGGTGGTGGTGAGGGAACTGTGAGGTGGTGGTGAGGGAACTGTGAGGTGGTGGTGAGGGAACTGTGAGGTGGTGGTGAGGGAACTGTGAGGTGGTGGTGAGGGAACTGTGAGGTGGTGGTGAGGGAACTGTGAGGTGGTGGTGAGGGAACTGTGAGGTGGTGGTGAGGGAACTGTGAGGTGGTGGTGAGGGAACTGTGAGGTGGTGGTGAGGGAACTGTGAGGTGGTGGTGAGGGAACTGTGAGGTGGTGGTGAGGGAACTGTGAGGTGGTGGTGAGGGAACTGTGAGGAGGTGCTAGTGAGGGAACTGTGAGGTGGTGGTGGTGGTGAGGGAACTGTGAGGTGGTGGTGGTGGTGAGGGAACTGTGAGGTGGTGGTGGTGGTGGTGAGGGAACTGTGAGGTGGTGGTGGTGGTGAGGGAACTGTGAGGTGGTGGTGAGGGAACTGTGTGGTGGTGGTGGTGGTGAGGGAACTGTGTGGTGGTGGTGGTGGTGAGGGAACTGTGAGGTGGTGGTGGTGAGAGAACTGTGAGGTGGTGGTGGTGAGGGAACTGTGAGGAGGTGCTAGTGAGGGAACTGTGAGGTGGTGGTGGTGAGGGAACTGTGAGGAGGTGGTGGTGGTGAGGGAACTGTGAGGTGGTGGTGGTGAGGGAACTGTAAGGTGCTGGTGGTGGTGAGGGAACTGTGAGGTGGTGGTGGTGAGGGAACTGTGAGGTGGTGGTGGTGGTGAGGGAACTGTGAGGTGGTGGTGGTGAGGGAACTGTGAGGGTGAGAGAAAGTGGAATCCCCCCTCAAGGGGGGGGGGAGCAGCGGCCGGACACCGGCTTATCACAGCTCAAGAGTCATTATAAACTTCCTTTACCTCGCACTTACTGTGTGTGGCAACCCTTACCATATATATGTATATGTATATATATGTATATGTATATATATGTATATGTATATAATGTGTGGGTGGTGATGTTGCAAGGCTCGCCAGACCTCCAACAACGGACCTCTCATCGTTGCCTAAGCATTACAATGCAATCATTGCCATACAATTGCCATGAAGCGTCTCCAACCTAGTTTGAGCAACATTGGTCGGTCCCATAGGCACTGTGGCACCCAGGATGACGCTCATGCATCCCCCAGTGCCTTGATATGGCACTCCCAGCAGTGCTAGGGTTGATAACATGGCACTCCCAGCAGTGCTAGGGTTGATAACATGGCACTCCCAGCAGTACTTGGGTTGATAACATGGCACTCCCAGCAGTGCTTGGGTTGATAACATGGCACTCCCAGCAGTGCTAGGGTTGATAACATGGCACTCCCAGCAGTGCTAGGGTTGATAACATGGCACTCCCAGCAGTACTTGGGTTGATAACATGGCACTCCCAGCAGTGCTTGGGTTGATAACATGGCACTCCCAGCAGTGCTTGGGTTGATAACATGGCACTCCCAGCAGTGCTAGGGTTGATAACATGGCACTCCCAGCAGTGCTAGGGTTGATAACATGGCACTCCCTGCAGTGCTTGGGTTGATAACATGGCACTCCCAGCAGTGCTAGGGTTGATAACATGGCACTCCCCCCCCCCACTGCAGTGCTTGGGTTGATAACATGGCACTCCCAGCAGTGCTAGGGTTGATAACATGGCACTCCCAGCAGTGCTAGGGTTGATAACATGGCACTCCCCCCCCTGCAGTGCTAGGGTTGATAACATGGCAATTCCCCCCCTGCAGTGCTAGGGTTGATAACATGGCACTCCCAGCAGTGCTAGGGTTGATAACATGGCACTCCCAGCAGTGCTAGGGTTGATAACATGGCACTCCCAGCAGTGCTTGGGTTGATAACATGGCACTCCCAGCAGTGCTAGGGTTGATAACATGGCACTCCCCCCTGCAGTGCTAGGGTTGATAACATGGCACTCCCAGCAGTGCTAGGGTTGATAACATGGCACTCCCAGCAGTGCTAGGGTTGATAACATGGCACTCCCCCCCTGCAGTGCTAGGGTTGATAACATGGCAATTCCCCCCCCCCCTGCAGTGCTAGGGTTGGTAAGTTATCAATACGTCTGCTTAAATATTAAGACCTCTAGGGCTTACAAAACATGGAGCTTTAAGGTGTAGCTAGACATTGAAACAAATGAAGCGCGCGCACACATGCACACAAATATTTGACTGAAACTTGTCCGAGCCATACCCATGCTCCCTTAACACTACACCTGGGCTAGGATTTAACAGCATTTATTCATCCATTTGAGAACCTGTACTGCTTTTCTCAATCCTTCTTGGATTTGTTTACATATATTTATTTATATACAAGAAGGTATATTGGGGGGTTAACAGAGAACTTAGAAATTAAGTTGATTTTACATTCTTGTAAAGCCACTAGTACGCATAGCATTTCGGTCAAGTCCTTAAACTAACAGATAATTTTTAGATAATTCACAGTAAAATTGACAATGTTTACAGGTGCATTGTAAGAAATTTTGACAAAAGCAGATTAGAATGCAGATCCTCTACATCATTAAATGTTTTCTGCATCTTCAGTAGTTCATCCACCTGAAACTCCCATATTTCCCCAGTACTGTCAATACAGTACAGTAGTTTATTCATCTTGACATATTCCATTTTATAATCTCATTGGTCCCTTCAAGCCAAGAAAATAAACATTGAGAGAAAAGATAAAAAATGTTTGATCATGATGTAAAGAATTTGCTATGGAATATTTTGTTGACATATTTCTCTGTTTCTCAGGAATTGCTGAAAGATGTCGAAGTCTAAGAAGGTCCCTTCCAACTACTTTCATTTGGTCAACCCATTAATCATAATTGTTCACATTGCACTATTTGGCCTCCTCCTGGTAAGTCCTGTTGTCATTTTAGACTACAAATACTATATTAATGAAATTATGCTTTGCTGATGCCCTGAAAAATTTGTATGTTATATTCTCCTGTAGTAGAAAAAAGCAAACATTCCAGGTTGATCTACTTAGCTGTCATGTTTTATGTCTGACAGTTTTATCCAAATGCATATTATCATGTTCATTGAAGTTCATTGATATATAAATAAAATATTGGTCTCCACTGTGGTAACAAAATATCTAAACATTTCTTTAGGTTATTAATTCTTGCAATGAATTTGCCTTGTTAAAATGTTGGCACTTTCTGGGGCGAGCCTCTTGTGGCTCCTTGAAATCTAAGGCTGTTAGGGTCAACAGAAGCATGGCAAGGTCTAGTGCTGAAGAAGATTGCCAAGCTTATGAAAGAGAAGTCTGGAAAGATTATGCAGAACTATAGCAATAATGGCAGGACTTTCGACAAGCTGCCAACTTCTTGTTGGGTAAATTTAGGAATGGGTTCCAACAGCCGTGCTCGGTATGATGAGATAACATAGCATCAAATTCCTTGTCTGTTATTTATTCATAGTCCCTAAAGTTTTACTTCTGGCTTGGGGCCAAGCTTGTCTGGTGGTAACTTGATCGAACAAGCTGTTGCTTGTAGCAGCTGATCCAGCTCTTCTTGCAGGAATCAGACGCTGCTTCTTGAAAACATCCACCTTCGTTATGGCAATATTCCTTACATTTGGTGAGCAGAGGGCAGAGATTTTGGCCCTTTGACATTCATAGTGTTCTCCAACTGTGCCTATGGCGCACCTGCAGTACTGTACTTACTCTTTCCGAGTCTATTCTGTTTCCTACCTTCTTTCATTCTTGGTAATTTTTTATAATTACACACTTTGTCTATTAAGTAGTTTTATTGTGTGTATTTGGGACCTGACCCTTCGATATCTTCAATGTACATACCAAGTGAAACATTTCTTGTTGCCCTTCCAGAGAGTGCTTTGACATCTCCACTAATTTAGGTGTTTTACCATGTCTGAATGACATACATTGTCTGCATTCCTTCTTCGGAAATCTATCCCATCTTGAATTACTTGAGGTATGCCATAGACATGGGAATAAAAATTGACGAGTAAGCCTTAATGTGATGTGTGCAGACCCCATCAAACAACCTCCTACTGCCAACAACAAAACCTATCTAACTGAATAATGATATCTTGAAGCTTAGCCCCATAGAGGTTTAAATTTATTAGACCAAAATACTGTAACACGGGTTATGGTTCCTCTCTTTACTTCACTTCCTTCTTTGCCCTCTCTACCCGTATTCTTACTTTTTATTCTCTACCAAGGGACTCCAAAACTTTTACCAAAGCCAACTCCACGCCACGTGGTCCTAAGACGATTGACCGACTTAGGATTCTACACCCAGTATGACGTGACTTAGGCTCTGAGCAAAACCCTAGAGTTGCCTCTACGCTGCCACCACCAGACCAGCAACACAGAGCAATGATCGAGGTCTGGATCGATCACGCTAATTAATCAACCTTGGGGCTTGATCCCCACTCAATGACCGTGGAAACTTAAGAGTGTGAAATTAATTACACGGGAATGATTCGATGTTAGAATCGATGTTAGAATCGGCGCCCAATCCAACTCTGCCTCGTGTGGACCACGTGACCAGGACAAGTATACACATAAAATACATGGAAATAATAAAATGCAAAATATTAACAAATTTAATTTATTAAAGAAAACTAAAACAAAAAATCTAAATATGTTCACTCCCTGTCACTTTAACACTCCCTACTTGACCTGAATGGCAAATGAGACTATTTCTATACATAACCATAGCAACTATACCTCTATGTTTTACCAGCTAAAGATGTTGGGCTGGTCTCGGGGAGAGGTAAGATGTTTGACCTCTCCCAGCTGCTCCCGTATTCACACTGATCTCTCCTCGTCTGGCCTAGCCCAGACTAGAACATTGTATCCTTCCGCCTAGTCAAAGTTTTACCAAGTTACTAGCCAGGTTTAAGTTATAACAATTAACCTCTGTTGTACTTAATTGATCCAGACTGGTTGAATTATTTTACTGAAGTTAAATTACACAAACATCTAACGGCAGAGCTGTTCCCGATCCCCCAAAATGGTTAATTGAACTTCGAGAAATAGTAGACCTGTCAACCCTGCTGACCTATGACCGCCGGTCACTCCGCCTTACAAGTTAGATCTGATTCGTGACGTCACTGATGGTGACTTAAACTCAATAATTAGAATACTCTTGATATTGTATCCAGTACTATTATACAATACAATTTTAATACAAAATGAATAAAGGCTAATTTCTCTAAATTACTGAATACTATAGGATGATTCATTATACACAGCTATGAACAAAGCGTTGGTTATTTCCACCGCGAATTCCCCTGGGAGTCAGGTCCCCAGGTCACCATGCGGGCTCAGCTTCCCATTCTCTTTTGTCGATAAACCACTCTGGATAATTCTTACAACAGCCTAGTTTGTTACAATACTTGAACAGCCAAAGCTTTGAATTATTGGAATAGTCTTTCTATTCTCTAGGCGAGCATGGAAATAAGAAGCTTGACGAGAACTGGACACCTTGCAAAAATGAAAAGGAACTGTGACTGGAAAGGCAAAGTGGAGCCAGAAAGGTCATGTGACCTGCATAACATAACTTCACCAACAGCATCTTACTAGGGAAAAAGTAGATTGCCCTCAGATTCCCATTTACCTGTATGGCATGTATAGCAATAAACTGCAGTCCTGAAATGGATACACATGCAGGCAATTTTGGGTTACAAGCTGTCAGCATGCTGAAGATCTTTCATATACAGTAAATTGGAATGATGCTACGTCCAACACTCATTCTTCAGAATGGATGCAACCTGAAAGATCTGCCTGCCAGAATGCTGAAAATATAATATGGACCACACGTATTCCAAGGAATCTGAAGCTAAACCATGACTTAAATAAAGTTTACTTCCAAACCACAATCAGTGGTTTGATCAGTGATGACCAAACCACTCGCACCAGAAGATGAGGAGACGACGACATATTGGTCCATCCCGGAACATTATCATTATCAAGACAATCGACTTGATAATGGTCCAGGATGGACCTAAACATCGTCTCCTCATTTTTGGTGTGTGGGTTTGGTCGTCATACCTTCAGCCATGTTATTGTGACCCATCATCTGCACAGAGGAAGTGATTTGGTTGTGTTATTTCCTGTTCAGGTCATATCTTTGATGCTGATATGGGTCTGAACTAGACATAAGCCAAGCACCTTGGCCCTCATAACGGGGACTGGATAAAGAGGCTCTTAATCTGTACAAGAAACATCTGTGAGCCACTCTTCTAAAACGTCTCTGCCACCCCGTGAGATTGGGTGCCACAGAATTTAATGGTGGTAGCAAGCAAACCCACCAATTCTGCTTGTGATAATGAGCAAACCAACAGAAGAACTTGTTTACCGCAGTGGTAACACACTCATCCTGTGTTTTTCAGGTGATCTGAGATAAATGCCTGGCGAGGATGGATTTTTATGAACGTTAATTAATAACTGTTTGCCCATGTTCAACCAGCAATAACCAGATCTGGTTGTAGGTTGATTGGTGGGTTGTCATCTTAGGAAAACTAGTACCTGTACAGTAAAGCTCAAGATTAGCTATGGGAAGGGAAAGCTCCAAACCTTCTAACAGGAGTAGTGTCCTCGCCATTTTCTCCCTCCTGTCATTTTTTTTCACACAGGTAAACCTGCTCCATTTTTTCAGTTTTCCAGAGAAGCTAGCCTCCTATCTTGAGGCACCGATGTAAGCTTGAGAAGTTTCTGAGCAGCTCTTCAGATATTGAGCATTGAAAGTACCACTTGTTTGTTGATGGCACATCAACAAACTGGAAAAAATGCAAAGACATGCAACTAAATGGCTCCCAGAACTGAAGGACAAGAGCTATGAGGAGAGGTTAGAGGCATTAAATATGCCAAAACTAGAAGATAGAAGGAAAGAGGTGATGTGATCACTACATATAAAATAGTAACAGGATTCAATGAACTTTATAGGAAAGAATTCCTAAGATATGGAACTTCAAGAACAAGAAGACATAGATTTAAACTTGGTAAATAAACCTACCGAAGGAATATAAGGAAATTCACTTTGGCAAACAGTGGTAGACTTTTGGAACAAATTAGGTGAGGTGATGGAGGCCAAACCCATCAGTATTTTCAGAGCACTATATGACAGTGCTGGGAAGATGGGACACCACAAGTGTAGCTCTCATCCTATAACTACACTTGGGTAATTACTTAACATCCGCCAATGCGATCGCGTCGGTTCCAATTGCAAGTGGATGTGCAGTCATTCACTCATTCATTCACTATGCAATGCCATTATGTCAACTTCATGACATGACAACTGACAACTTGACAATTCATGACAACTTCATGAGCGTTTTTGGTTATTACTGTAACACACTTGCCTTCAAGTGTGTTCTTTTACCAGCAAGGCCACCACCCCCTCCTTCTCTTCTAGTTTTCCTGTCGCATCTCCGAACTAAGTAGCCACTTGGGAATACGACCTCATTTAAAATATTTTTTTCCAAGTTTTGTCTGTTATTGCAATAATATCTGGGATCTTATGCTGAATTATCTCTTAGCTCCAGTATTTTTTATCTCCCTCAATCTGTTGTTCCTGAAAATTGTATACACCATGTTCCCTGTCCCTTTGGCCTTTACTCCCCATTCCTCTAATGATTTTGTTGCTTTGTTTTTATATACCATTTCACTAGCTTTCCAATCCCTTACTCTAGAAAAAATTCTCATCATTTCTGTTCCCATTTTGAGGTTTCACTTCATTGAGGTTTTTCAGCTTTTCTGTCTTCCTTCAAGAGGTCTTGTCTTATTGACCAAAGTTTACCATCAACACTGCAATTTCCTGGCATTTCTAAGCACTTCCGTCATTTGTTTCACTTCATTAAATGTCACTCTTAAAGTAGGGGGTTCTTGTATTTTTCATATTTTCTTATCCTAAAATGTTGCATTTTCCTTTCAATTGAGGCCTTCATTAATAATGACTTATTAATAATAATAATAATTCAGAATAGTTGAATTAGTGTACAGATTCCTGAGCCTATTGTGCTCTATATCTACATTGCAACTGTGTATGGAGTCTGCCTCCACCACATCACTGCATAATGCACTCCATCTGTTAACTACTGACACTTAAAAAATTCTTTAACATCCTTGTGGCTCATTAGGGTATCAAGTTTTCACCCGTGTCCTTTTGTTCGTGTACCACCTGTGCTAAATAATTTATATTTATTTACCCTGTCAATTCCTGAGAATTTTATAGGGGGTGATCCTGTCTCCCCTAACTCTTGTGTCGTCCAGTGTAATGAGATTTAGTTTCAGTAATATTTCATTGTAAGCTCATACCCCTCAGCTTGGGGTCTAGCCTGGTGACATACCTCTGAACCTTTTCTAACTTTTTGTTTGACTAGATATGGATTCCCATGTTGGAGCTGCATACTCCATTATTGGTCTGACATGTGAGGTATACAAGGTTCTGAAGACAGTTCCTATGTTTACCAGCCATGAGTATGCGGCTGATATCCTTTTGATTTGGGCTTCAGGGGATAGGTCTGGTGTAAAATCAACCCCCCAGATCTCTTCTGATTCCTGAAGGATTTCAGGAATAATTCTGGATTTGACGTAGTACATTGTATAAGGCATATGCTTGGTAGTACCTATGGTACAGATTCGAATCCTCCTCACGACTCCAATTTATTTTCTCATTGATACATCACATTGAGATTTCTTTTCGCATTATTATTCTATAATATAATATATTATTATTTATTATTATTAATATTATTATTATATTATTCCTTCATCCGCTTTCTGTAAATACAGTGCGTATCTTTAAAACCAATTGATCCGATCTTGCTATTTCTGAGCAGGAAAGCTCGGAAATAATCAAATAATAAATATGAATAGCTGTTTTCTGAGCAGATATCTTGGTTGTTCGTCACTGTCCTTGCTTTCCTCGAGGATAGTAATCTTTGTCAGGAGTTGTGGGGGAGATTTTGGGCCGGGCAGTCATGTTGTGGGTCTGCTGCTGCTACCTGTTGGTGGTCAGTGGAGGTACTTGGGTGACCCAACGGATAGTTAGCGAAAGCATCCATTGACAGTCATTTGGGACGCTGTGGACAATTTGGAAGGGCTTAGAGTTCATATAAATAGATCTTATGGTGGTCATTGTAGGCTGGAATGTTCTCTAGATTTTCCTAGCATTAGTGTGACCTGACATTAATGTGACATTAATGGTATCCTGCAGGATACCTGAAAAGTTGTTGATGCTAGGTCCAGAATGTTGACCTGCTTCACTATTCATGCCCGTGCTCTATGGACTCGCTGGTTGCTTGCTTACGGACAACCAAGTGATCTAAAAATAACTTTTCATATTTTCTCATTCTTAATTGTGCTCTCTGCTGAATGTGAAGGATCTGTTCCACCAGGTATAAAGGAAATTTGCCACTTGTTCTTTAAAGAACCATTCAGGTTAATTTTAACAATATAACTACTAGTCAGTTAAAAATGTGTTCTAACAGTAAACTTTTCATGTTTTTAACAGATAACATATTTCAAGCCAGAGTTTTTTGCCACAAATGACTTCGGACCCCTCTCCGAGTATGCCCACTTAGTTGGCACACAGTACAAGTTTTATCTAAAGTTGGGGTAAGTGTAAATAATGTTGAAATGTTGTTACACATTTTCTTTACCACTGCCACAACCACACGAGCCACCACCACCATGAATCATCACTATAACCACCACATGAACCACTACCACAACCACCACATGAACCACCACCATAACCATGGTGGTGGTTATGGTAATGATACTATGGTAATAATACATATTGATACTCTTAAAGATGCTAGTGCTCTCTAGAGTGGAATACTGTTGCACAATGACAGCCCCTTTCAAAGCTGGAAAAATTGCTGACCTGGAGAGCGTGCAGGGATCCTTTACTGCTAGAATCCACTCAGTAAAACATCTAAACTATTGGGACCGACTAAAGAGCCTGAATCTGTATTCTCTAGAGCGCAAGCGGGAGAGATACATAATAATTTACACGTGGAAAATAGTAGAGGGGCTGGTCCGAAACCTGTACACAGAAATAACATCACACGAGACCAGGAGGCATGGCAGGATGTACAGAATACCCCATTGAAAAGCAGAGGTGCAACAGGTACTCCGAGAGAGAACTCTATCAACATCAGAGGCCCGAGACTGTTCAACACGCTTCCACTACACATAAGGGGCATAACTGGCCGACCCTTCAGTGTTCAAGAGAGATTTTGATAAACACCTCCAAGGATACCTGATCAACCAGGCTGTGATTCATACATCGGGCTGCGAGCAGCCATGTCCAACAGTCTGGTTGACCAGTCCAAGAGGCCTAGTCAGGGACTGGGCCATGGAGATGTTGAGCCTTGATATCAATGAAAGGTTACCATAACCACCACTATACAGTACATCTGTACTTTATTCAGAGTAGACAAAATCCAAAATGGCTGCTGGCAAGAGGGGAAAAAAATAACATGGTGGATTTTGGTGGCCTTAATGAGGACAGTACAGTATTAGTACGAGTGGTTTGTATAACAAGAAGGCAAACTTGGTGTGCAAATACCGAAACCATGCCAGGGTTAGTCCCGACTTGGTTTCAGTGGAAGCATTGGGACACCTAGAGGATTCAGCTGAATCCCTGGTTGGATTACTTTTAGTATTTCATGACCTAGTAATTATCAAAGTGTAATTACAGGATACGAGAGCTATACTCTTGGTGTCCTGTCTTGCCAGCACTTTGTCATATAAAACACATGAGACAAACAGACCACAGATAACCTTGTCTTATATTTATTCCATTCCTGTATGCTAGAAGTCTTTAAATCCGCTTCCATATCTTCAGTTCACTGTATAGTTCTTTGTCATATTTTCCAATTGTAATGCCTTAATTATTAATACAATTAATGTAAGGATTTTATTAAATTATTATTATTTCATCAGATTATTGGTTGTTTTGGCTGTGCACATCCTTGAGACACTGTGTGCAGTGTACAAGTGCCAGAAGCTGAGGCTCACAATAAGTGTTACCATTGCCTGGGCTCTGCAAACCCTTTGCTTGGGAATATGTTCGCTGCGGTATCTCCTCTGGCTGCAGAGACCGAGTCCAGCTCCAACACCCAAAACGCCTAAACAAACAAAAGCGAAGGCAAAGAAGCAGAAGTAATTTATAATTTTTTAGAAGTTGACAACTTTTTTTACTGCCTCTTTGTACTCATCTTAAACATTTTGTCAAATAAAAATAAAACTTGACCAAAGTGAATTAGTGATTTTTGTATCCTGTTTTTATTTTGGTAGTGACTTGAACCTTTAATATGACACTATGGTGTCAGGTTTTAGTATTCACAATAATATTAACCCTGTGCTATCCTTTAATATCATAAAATGTAAATTCGTATGCAGGCGATGAGTCACAATAACGTGGTTAAAGTAAGTTGACCAGACACACACTAGGAGGTGAAGGGACGACGACGTAACGTCGTCATCCCTTCACCTAGTGTGTGGTCTGGTCAAAATGTAAATTATTCTTTGAGCTGATCTGGCAAATGGCACAGGGGCTTACCTACAATTTAATTCCAAATAAAAATTGTTGCACCCAAAAGCTTGTACAGTACGTGTATTAGCTGCCATAAACTGTAAATAACATTGGCAAGTGGTATTTTGGCAATGGTAATTATACATAGTAGACAACCCACACATCTGAAAATAAAAACTATATTTTGGTCTGTCCTGGAACATTATAAAGTCATGTAATGTATCACATGACTTGATAAGGATCCAGGATTAACCAAAACGTTTCTTCATTTTCAGATGTGTGGGTTGGGTATCAGTTCTTTAGCCACATTGACTCGCTGCCTGCATACATTAATTATATCAAAATTTGATAGAAAATACCATTTATTCTTGTATCCAGTAGAATGCTATACTGTCAAACATTTTTTACTGGATTTGAAATCGGGCATAGCCAGATTTTAGACAAGTCATTTACATAGAGGTTGTTTGATAATTGTATGATTATTATTCCAGCAAAAACATTATGGGTTTGTATTTACAGACATCACACTGGCTGTCACTTGGAAATCTTTTGAAACCTTTGTGTGTAACAATTTGAATACAAGGGGTCAGATTTAAGATAAGCTGAAAAAAAGCAAATGCTTTATATCTACAAATCAGTACTTAGTAGTACAGTTGGGGTTTGTGTTCTGGTAGTACATTTGGGGTTGCTCTGGATCCCGGTAGTACCATTGAGTTCATTCTCGACTTGCAGTCAGGAACCCTGAGCGGTATCGAAATGGCTGAGCACATTTTCCATCGCCTAATGCCTTTGTTCACCTAGCAGTAAATAAGTACCCAGTAGTTTGGTTGTTCTGGTGTATCCTGGAAAGTCAATACTGCAGTTAAACTTTGAGGGGGATCTAGATACAAGTATGATGTATATAGTCTGACAATGAATTATTATTAATTATAATCCTTTTTTGTTTTGGGTAACTTTTTTTGTGTTAATTATGAGTTCCATTACCTTAATAGGGCAGTGTGAGGATAACTCATGATTGATGGACTGCGTTCATTAATTGAAGGTATGTATTATTTCATATGATTTATGGAAAAAGTCTATCCATATTATGAATATGGGTATTGAAGCATAAATCTTTGAATATACCAGTATTTTAAAACGTATTGAATGAGGATTTAGATCACTGCTGCAGGGTAGAAACCCTAACAAAAATGATCTTGACTGCCACCAAATGGCAGCCCAGATCACAAGGGGTCTTGGCCACCCAGTCAATTCACTTTGGGGCTGGTCATGCCGTATATCCAGTTCCACAAAAAAGAAATGGGTTGGGTGGGAGGAGCTACAGGGGTAGACCAGAAAAATCTGTTCATTGCATCAATTAGAGATTGCTGCCTGAGCTGGCCACCTGGCTAGCTTAGTTCCATTACCCTATCAAATCTTTGTGGCTCGTAAGTGCCGAACAGAGACCAGAAGCAGAATCGGGTACACTCATTTATAATGATGATCAAGTATTTGCTATCCGAAGCCAATGTTGGTACACTCATTAGAGGCAAAGGGAGTCTGGGGATACATCAATTTATTCCAAGTGTGAAAAAAAACTTAAAGGGTGCATAGCAAAACAAGACATTGAAACAATATTACTCCACTGCATGGAGTAATATTTGCAACCTTGTTAATTATATGTGCCCTCATTAGCCTGCAGTTACCCATATTAGTTACTGCCCTCATCAGGGGTCAGCCGAGGGCTCCAACTAGTCAACCACCTCAGCCGTGTCTGGTATAACTTAACCACCAGTCCCATATGGTGACAGATTTCCAAAATTATCCAGCACCGTTTGAACTTTAGAAATATCTTTGCCCTGAAACAAAATATATGATCGGAGTCATCCCATTCGAGTATCTCTCAGATGCTATCTTATTCATTAGTATATTAAACAGGGTGGGACTCAACACTCCTCCCTGAGGTGTGCCGAGTTCAAAAGATCTCACACCTGCTACCACACCTGAGCCTTCCTTTCGTTTAGTTAGTTTAGTTCATTTATTATGCACCCCATACCCATCTTGTGGGCGGTAGTGGAAAGGGTTACAGAGGCACATAATGGGCTCAGGGGCCTTCCTTTCGTGGAGATAATTCCCTATCCAGCGTAATAATCTTCCTTTAACACCAAGACCAGCGAGTTCATATAAGATAACCTCTTTGTTGGCTTTATCAAAAGCTCCTTGTAAATCAATAAAAATTCTTTAGTAATCATTATCATTAGCTAGACATGGAATAATACAGTCAGAGGTACTTTTCCCTCTGAGGGACCCGAACAAATTACTAGACAGCTGATCACCTATTATATATAAAAGACTTTAAAATTACCCTCTCCATCACTTTACCATCACTCTGCCCGAAACGCTTTGCGTAATAGTGGCTTTAGGCATTGTATGTACTAGCTCTATCTATAAAGCCAACAAACTTTGTAAATCTCTTTATGTATGTACCTTACCTAAATAAAGATTATTATTATTATTATTATTTACAAAATCACGAGGTTAGGGACACAGGGTTGTGCTCTCCATTGGCTTTAGAGATAATCATAGATATTTTCCATTTACTAGGAATACGCCCTGTTTATAACTAATATTAAAATGGTCTAACATTGAACATTTCTTCATAATGGCAAGTTCATTAAGTATTTCATAAGTTGCTCCATCCTCCCCAGGGGCGGTAGATTTCCCAATTTTAATCGCCGTTATTAGTTCATCTCTGGTAATACCTGTGCAAGTGACATCACCATTGTTACCTGCTGTAACTATAAAGTACTTTCTTAGATCTTTCCAAGAATCTAATGACACTCGTTATAGCTGGCAATGAATTAAGTTTGGCAGCTTTCACCCATTTATCTACGAGACCGTTGACCCAGCGGGTCAGAATGTGCAACAAAATTATGCATTTTATCCCCTTACTTTATTTACGTCTTGCCAGATTTCCTTCAAGTTTCTGTTACTCCCAACTTTCTCTGCAAACTCCTGCAAATACTTGCTCCTAATTTCCTTTCTCTTAAATAAATAAATAAATAAATAAATGTTTATTGAGGTAAGGTACATACATACAAGATATTTTTACAAAGATTGGTGGACTTATAGATAGAGCTAGTACATACAATGCCTAAAGCCACTATTACGCAAAGCGTTTCGGGCATGAAAAACTTAAATGACTAAAGCTTAATACTAATTGAGCATAAAGAGTAAAATGAAAACAAGAAATGAAAACATAGCTGAAAAAGCAGCACAAATACAATTCTGTCCCACACAGCCTAGCAACTGGCAGTAGAGCATTCTTCCCTTCCTCAGTCCTGCCATTCCTATTCCAGTCCAGGCGAGCTCTCCTCATTGTTTAGGTTCACCCCCTTAGCATCTTGTCCTTGAGGTTATCTTGAGGTGATTTCGGGGCCTGCGTCCCCGCGGCCCGGTCCTCGACCAGGCCTCGTTTTATTTTGTTACACATCCCCAGGAAGCAGCCCGTAACAGCTGTCTAACTTCCATGTACCTATTTACTGCTAGGTGAACAGGGCCATCAGAGTTTTAGAAACTCTGCCCATTTGTTTCCCGCCTTCGCCGGGATAGAACCCGGAACCTTAGGACTATGAATCCCAAACACTGTCCACTCAGCCGCCAGGCCCCTACCTGTTTATAATTTTTTTCTGGGTGGATGTTTTTTTATAGTGGATGTTGTTCTGTTCAACATAGCATTAAATACATCTACTGCCTTAATTAGGTCTACATAAAATTATTCTGCCGAAACTGGCCCATAAACCAAAACCAATTCTATAATAATAATAATAATAATAATAATTTTTATTTAGGCAAAGGTACATACATAACTACAAGGGACTAGTAGTCCCTTCTATTTGCTGACGACACAACCTTCATATACTCCAGTCCTGACCCCCTTGCTCTAAATGTCACAGTGAATACTGAACTAAATAAAGTCCATCTTTGGCTAACTGCCAACAAACTCACCCTCAATATTGACAAAACGTTCTATATTTTGTTTGGCAATAAATCCTCAAATCAAATAAATCTCAGGATTAATAATACTCAAATTTGTAACAAAGTAGATGGCAAATTCCTTGGCGTTCTCATTGACCACAAGCTGAATTTCCAGGGACACATTCTAAATATATCAAAAAAAGTCTCAAAAACTGTTGGCATTCTTTCTAAGATCAGATATTATGTACCTCGCCTTGCCTTGGTGCACTTACTCTCTCATCTATCCATATCTCAACTATGGTATTTGTGCTTGGGGTTCTACTACCCAAAATCATTTACGTCCTCTAATTACTCAACACAAAGCTGCTATTAGGACAATATCTAACTCTAGCCCCCAGACATCACTCGGTACCCTTACTCAAATCTCTGAATATGTTAGATATTAAGTCACTGCATATTCTCTCATGTGCATTTTATATATATAAAACGCTGAACTGTAATGCCAATCCTGACCTTAAAAGCTTCCTAGAAGGTTGTAACAGAACCCATGGGCACCACACCAGAAACAAATACCTATTTGATATTCCAAGAGTACGACTTAATCAAACTAGAAATGCTCTACAAATCAAGGAACCCAGAATGTGGAATGGCCTTCCCAATTATGTTAAAGGCTGCACCTCTCTCAACCAGTTTAAGATAAAAACGAAGTACCACCTAATTAACTCAATGTAACCTACCTTACCCCTAAATGTCAACCCATGTCTACTATT